ATGTGTGTGTGTGTATGTATATATATATGTGTGTGTGTGTATATATATATATGTGTGTGTGTGTGTATATATATGTGTGTGTGTGTATATATATATATGTGTGTGTGTGTATATGTATATATATATATGTGTGTATGTATATATATATATGTGTGTGTGTAGGTATATATATGTGTGTGTGTATATATATATATATGTGTGTGTGTGTATATATATATATATATATCATAAAACACTAATGATAACTTTCAGATGTCAAATTATTCAGTTAATTACGTCTGCCAGTAAGACGGAGACTAGCAGTGCTACGGACGGACAGTCCAAATTGTGTTGTATTTGTGTGTGCTTAACCGTGCGTGCGCGTGTGTACAAGCAGGACGTGGCCACGTAAAATATACACGAAACAAGAACAAATCTTTCAAGTTGGCAGTGTTCCATAAAGTTCGCTAGAAACCGTTGATAAGCGATAAAGAATATCTAAATTTACGGAGCATTTATTTCCTAAGCCATGTGTGTGTGTTGTGTATAAACAGTATATGTATGTGAATAGATCAGGCGATACCAGGCGCGTGATGTCATACGTGATTTCCGGACTGGAGACTCGAGTAGGTTTCTAAAGACCACGGTCTCATTGCAGCGAGCATTCATAACTTTCTCAGCTTCGAGTCCCGCTAGAAGATGTCCGGTACCCAGGTACGTTTACTCGGTGATTTGAGTCATTTGAGTTAGTTATTGACTTAGTTATTAATTTCGGTGTTGTTGATGAAAATCTGGGGAGAATTTCTTTGAGATGTCGGTCAAGCCTGAAATGTTCGCTTAAGTAAAGGTTTCCATATGCACGGCCAAGTTTTTAGAACTGCGAAAGACCGCGTAGTATAGTGTATGCTCATGATATATTTGTTTGAAGTCGAAATGTATAACCACCTTACGTATGTGTAAATAGTTGTACTAAACACCTTGCGTATGTGTAAATAGCTGTACTAAACACCTTGCGTATGTGTAAATAGCTGTACTAAACACCTTGCGTATGTGTAAATAGCTGTAGTAAACACCTTGCGTATGTGTAAATAGTTTAACTAGACACCTTGCGTATGTGTAAATAGTTGTACCAGACACCTTGCGTATGTGTAAATAGTTGTACTAAACATCTTGCGTATGTGTAAATAATTGTACTAAACACCTTGCGTATGTGTGAATAATTGTACTAAACACCTTGCGTATGTGTAAATAGTTGTACTAGACACCTTGCGTATGTGTAAATAGTTGTACTAAACATCTTGCGTATGTGTAAATAGTTGTACAACAATTATTAAATGCTTGGGGTAAAATAAATGTGTTAGAACTAGCTGACAGTTTTTATAGTATAGTCTGGTACAGCAAGGTTGTATTCCATCTTATAATACCAGGGAAACGACAACCTGTATTATATGTTTGTAACTATTCTTCGTGAAACGTACAAATTATTTGTTCGCTACTATATATATATACGTAGATATTTTTGTCATTCGCGGTAAAGAAGAGCAAGTAACATTGTTGATGTACAATATTATGAGTAAGAACGTGTTTTTAAATATGCTACAGGTGGAAGCTTTTGAATCTAGGCCAGTAATTATTGTGTTTGAAGGCATTTGAACAACAAAGCTTTTATTGTATTGTACACAGCAGAAGTTAATTCGTATGTAATTATTAAAATGTGTGTTGGAAGAGCATTGTCTGAAACTAGAACTGGTGCGTGTTGGCAGAGCGTTGTCTGAAAACTAGGACTGGTGCGTGTTGGCAGAGCGTTGTCTGAAAACTAGGACTGGTGCGTGTTGGCAGAGCGTTTTCTGAAAACTAGGACTGGTGCGTATTGGCAGAGCGTTGTCTGAAAAACTAGGACTGGTGCGTGTTGGCAGAGCGTTGTCTGGAACTAGAAATGGTGCATGTTGGCAGAGCGTTGTTTGGAACTATAACTGGTACGTGTTTGCCTTGTACAGATGCTGGCAGTATGTTATTACTGTTGAAAAACTATGTTAACGCGGTGGTATTCAAGTATATTGTGAATATTGGCAGATTTACAAGTTTTGAAGACCTCGTTTCTCTTCTTTCCTGACGCAAAAGTTTGTAATTTGCGGCTCTCGTTTTAAAGTACAAGTACAATAATAAGCTTCGTTCACCTGTTGTAGTTTCGATCTGCTAGTTGAAACTAGCACAGCAGGTGTACGAAGCACGTTGCGCTGACCGAAATGAGTTATTACACACATAACTCACCAGAAATAACTCATTCCTCCCCGTCTTGAACTATTGTTTTCCTTTTGCTTGTATATATATATCTTTTCTTCAACTAAGCAGTGATGACAAACAACATGTTGTGAAATTTACGTTAGCATTACAGGATTGTAGCCAGCATCTCGGAGTGGGGTGCTGGGGGGTTAGGGGGGGGGGGCGGGCGAGTATTTTCCAAAACATTGTAGGCCTATCCTTCTACCCAAAGAATTTAAGTGACTCACCGTTACTTAAATGAAAGTTATAAAACGAAATGTTGAAATGTGGGGGCGTTATAATGTGACGATCAATCCCACTATTCGGTAGTAAAAGAGTTGGCGGTGGGTAGTGATGACTAGCTGCCTTCCCTCTAGTCTTACACTGCTAAATTAGGGACGGCTAGTGCAGATAGCCCTCGTGTAGCTTTGCGCGAAATTCAAACAAACAAACACAGCGATAAACCGTTGGCTTGTAAACGTCTTGGGTAAGCCTTTTCAAATGAGCAATCGAAGGAGAGTGGACCTTTTAGAGTTTCTTGTTTTCAGAATATTAGGGTGCTCGTTCGACTCCCCCCTCTTCCAGTCTAGCCACGCTATTAAGTCCGGGTGTGACCTAGTCTGATTTCTTGATCACACTTTTTCAAGCAAGATCATTCAAGGGGTAAAAACAATTTTCGGATTTTTCAGTTTGAGTTTTTTTTTTTTTTTTTAAGTTAAGTAGAAAG